CCAGATATTTGCTTTGAGTGAGAGGACAGCAGTTTCAGCAGTTATAATCTCTTCACATCTTACTCGTGTTCGTTTATGGTTTTATAAACATAAATCTTGGGGTTAGAACTAGATGAGAATGACGTTTCATAGACTACGCTTCCAGAGATGTCTTGGCCATTCATTCTCTCCCAACCTCGTCCACAGTGAGGGTGTGCACAGGATCAGAATGTCAGCTTGCAGAAATGGAGACACGACCACAAGGTTACTGATTTCACCAGTAGACAGTGTCTACGGCTCCAGTCTCCACTTTGTTTGGTCATGTGTTATATCCCTTTATATTAAGAAGCTTCATAGCAAACTCGTTAGAATTACCTTTTTATAAATCAAAGAATTAAAGTGATTTGATTTTACTGCACCTGAAAATCTCCAATTTTCACTATTTAAAAAAATTATTAGCGCTGCACTGTCCAGTATGTTAGCCAGTCACCACATGCGGCTATTGAAATTACTTAATGTTAAATAAATTTATTAATAAAATAATTTAAAAATGGAATTAGGGACTTCCTTGGTGGTGCAGTGGTTAAGAATCCGCCTGCCAATGCAGGGGACACGGGTTCAAGCCCTGGTCCAGGAAGATCCCACATGCCACGGAGCAACTAAACCCGTGCGCCGCAACTACTGAGCCTGTGAGCCACAACTGCTGAGCCCACGTCCCACAACTACTGAAGCCCACGTGCCTAGAGCCCGTGGTCCGTCACAAAGAGAAGCCACCGCAATGAGAAGCCCACGCACCACAACGAAGACCCAACACAGCCAAAAATAAATACATAAATAAATAAATCTATTAAAAAAAGAATTAAATTTCACCTCGTTAGTCACAGTAGCCACATTTGAGATGCTCAGTAGCAGCTTGTGGCTGGTGGCTGGTGGCCTCAGCAGCACAGGTGGGCGTTTCCATCGCTGCAGAAATGCTGTTAGTGTTGCTAATGGTTTACCTTCAGAGTGAACCATAAATCTGATCACCTCGTTTTATCCATGACTGTAAGGGCCTCTATAATCAGATCATAGCCAAAAACAAAGTAACCAGGACTTGTATGGCTCTTTGAAATTTACAAAGCCCTTTAAATACAAAATCTCACTTCATCCTTAAATCAGCCCAGTGAAGGACATGGGACTGATGGTGTTAATGTCCTTATATTCTGTTTGGGGAGTAATTTACCCAAGCTGGGACTTTCTTCAAGGTCTAGGAGAGTCTTTTGCTCCTGACATGACAGCACACTGTTTCACAAACAAAGCACTTAGATTTATTTTCTTATAAAATTTCACGTTCAATAAAAAATTTTAGAAGTAACATTTACTTTGAATGTATCATAGTTATCATCTGGATAATTTTATCGTATGTCTGGGTTGAAATTTAGAGGAAGATATTACAAATACTGCATCAGTATTCCCTTTTGAGTTTTTTAAGGCAAATAATACACATGTAATTGTTCCCATTTTAATGTCATTTCACTTTATTAAAAGCATAAGTCTAATTCTTGGCTTGTAGTAAAACAAAAACAAGATTCTCATGTAATAGAAAGGGATTAGAATATATATCTGTATATATGAAAGAAAACGATACTAATGAAAACAGGTGGAAGGTACTTAAAGTGATCATTGGCATATTTTGGTTCAGATTGAACCTGTCTTCTCCAGGTTACTCTGTTGGAGCCATCAGACCTGGATTCACAAGTAGAAAATGCATGATCCCTCCTGTGACTTTGCTGGGCCGAGAAGGGAGCCCATCTCCCTTAAAGGAACCAGGAGAGTGAGTGTGTTTATTAATACTCAGGGAGTAGAAATGATGAAAGAAAAAGAAAAAGTAGGGTAATATCTCCTAGAAATGAAAGCAGAAAATGAGGAAATTAGAAATAAGAAAGGAAACTCCGAAGTTTGAATTCATATATGTATTATATGTATAAAATTCAACCAGTCTTAATTTTTCCAAAGAGGAGAAAACCCCCCTAAATAAGTATTTTAAACATTTACCTTCTAGGAAGTTTCTGTCCCTTTGTCTCCTGAATCGGTGTAACCACCTGTGCTCAGCTGATGCTCCATCAGGAGCTCCTGGCGGGCGTGAAATTCACTGGGCTGGGTGATCCCAGCACATTGGAAGCCCCTGCTCTCAGCAAATGGAGAGCAGTGCAATAAATGCTTCTGAAAATAAGTTTGCTAATTAATTATTCAGGCTCTCCTTTTAAAGCTTTTGTATTAATCACTCTTCCCTTGTCTGCCTGCCTCGCTTTTGCAAACCGGTCATCTTCTACTCAGCAGCACTGAAGTGACCATTCTGCTGAGCAGCAGAATCCCCAGTTCTGAAGCCGGTTCCTGGTTTGAATCCAGAGAAGCATTGAATTCCCTTGCACTCTCCTGCCTCTACCCCGAGGCTGGCCAGACTCATTTTGGTCCACATTTGAACATTTAAAGCATCAGAGAGTCCACTGGTGCTCTGATCTGGCTAGAGTATAGCAGCCACTTTCTGTTGTCCTTCACGAAGTGTCAGGCTCTGTGCTGGACATTCCCCTGGTGTTCCAAGCCCAAAACATATTTGTCAGGATGGTAAGAGAGGTGTGTGCATGTGTGTGTAGGGGGTGTGTAGTAAAGTGGTCAGAGAGGTTTCTAAGCAAACACACCAGTGTCCCTCCCCCTCCCATATTCACAGGGCACATTATATTAATAGGCTCTAGGAGGTTATATTCTATAGGTACCTGTTGAACTTTGACACCAAACTTGATTCTGGGATGCTTTTTCTTTGTGGAATGCCTGTTTAACATCGTCTTCCTTGGCTCTCCAGATAGGGATCGCTGCTCTGACTCTGATCTCTTTCGGGTGTTGAGCCTTCCAGAAAGCATTCAGGGACTGGAGCTTGCCCTTTAGAGTCTAAGGTTGCCATCTCAGAAATAAAAGACAAAAATTGTGCTTGTGCAAAAGTCCCTGTAAAAACCATGGCCAGGTTTATTTCTGTCATTGGGGTATTTTAATCGAGTGAATTTAGATGTGCAGAGTCCTTGTTCCACAAGATTTCTGTGTTACAAGCTATTCTGCCCCATGTTTTTAGAACTGGGCTATGTTTCTGCAGGTAAATACAGTCAACACTTCTCCGGATACTTTAAGAAATTATAAGGAAGTTAAGTAACTACAGGCATACATAAAACTGCTCAAATGTTTCTCTTTACCGATAGCTTCAAAAACTGGGGTTGAATGTATTTTAGCGGTCTTCTTGGTACAGTAATATATTAGTCTGACACTTCTGCTTATCGTGAAGTGTCGTGTAACCAGAACTTGTTTTCACCTTGTTACATCAGGAGCGTTTTATCCTCTCCTTAGGAATATGCTCACCTCTGCTTTGTTTTGGGTGTTTCGTAGCAGCCAGTGCGCAGGAGCAGTTAATTGCTGACTTGACCTGGTGACTGATGAATGCTGATGGTTAACCTCAGTCAATTTCGTATTTGCAAAAGGTTTACAGTAATTTTAGAGTCGGCGTCACATGCAGTAATGGAAGAAGATGGAGTGAAATAGAGATCAAGAATGCTTATAATCAAGTTGACCTAATTGTAGAACACGCCATCCAAGAAATACTTAGTAGAAATATGCCTAAGTACTCATAAGTGTATTCATGCAGAGGGGGAGAGGCATAAAGAATTTTATTACCACTTCCATTGCCATGGTGATGTTAGGAGGAGCTGTAGAGGAGGGTACTGAGGACCTTCCCCTGGGCCTGCATCCGTTTAGTCATGTTTGAAGCCATCAGAAGCCACATGCTATCAGATGACACTTAATGCCCTGGGAATTAGTTTCGAGCCCTAGGATTTGCATACAGGTGTTTTTTTGAGCCAATATATTAATAATAAAGGGATTTTTATAAACAATTATTATTCAGGTGACTTGTCTATTTTAAGTTCCTAAATATGTCATAAGTACCTGGGAGGTTATTCTCACATATATTTTAAGAGAATTATAGCATGTTTCTTACCTGGCAGGTCAGTTACCCTGTTTTAAATAGTCACCCTCTGCATTCCTTGATAAGTAGAAAGACGGCGAGGAACGAGAGTAAAGGAGGTGAAACCCGGGGAAATATGTTGATGTCTATTTGGTTTAATTGAAGTAGCGTCTTCAATTGGGCCTTCTGCTGCTTGCCTGTGACGCTTACCCGCGATGGATGCTGATAGGATCCCCCTAGGAAATTTGGCAGTGATTTCTCAGCTATTGATGAGTCCTGGGATGTGCTGGTGGCAGTGAAGAAGACAGGGTAGGTAGCAGCAGCGACCCAGGACGGCAGCCTGCAGCCCACACTCTCCTCGTTTACGTGCCAAGTGGGTAGAGCCCAGTGATTCCGCAGTCTCCCTTCCGTTCGGTGGGCACAGCTGAGGAGTTTCGGCCCCGTTCGCTTGGTCTCCCTTGATTCCTGGGTGTATTTGCTTTTGGAAAGATAGACAAATGGACGCCCTGCTCTTCCTAATGATAGGTAGATGATTTCAGGAATCTTCCATTGCCGTTTTAATGTGCGAGGAAAGCAGGAGGGCTGGACTACAGCTCCAGGAGTAGCAAGAGGCTGAGGGGAGGAAGTGGACGAGGCATCTCTGCTTTCCATGGCTAGCAGCACAGGGCAGTTGGAAACACAGATTCAAATGCGCAACGGGAGAACGAACCAGGATGCCCCAAACCGCTAATGCAGGGCAGAGATGCTCCCAGGGGTGACCGCAGAGCCACCCGAGGCTGTGATTTCAAATGCAGCTTCCTGGGCCCAGCCCCAGTTCTGCCAGAACCTAAGCTGGGCGAGGGGGAGGGGGGCGCAGAGTCCAGGAATCTGGTTTGAGAACTCATGTCAGTGCCATTTGAGATGGAGGCTCAACCGTGCTCTGTTCTTAGACACTCTCTCAACCACGCTTATTTCAAAACCACGTTAAAAAGTAGCTACTTCTCAATATCGTTTGCTATTGGTAGACATGATCCTTTTTTTTTTAATACCATCCCAGTATATGAGCAACGTGGACTCGTGGTGCAAAGCCTGTGGTGAGGTGGACCTTCCCTCCGAGCTGCAGGACCTGGAGGATGCCATTCATCATCACCAGGGAATATATGAGCACATCACCCTTGCTTACTCTGAGGTGAGTGGTCAGATCTACTTCAGCTGTAAAGCAACACTATTTTTGTGTCATGGCACTGAAAGTTGAAAAAATCAAATTTTTGGCTCGTCTAGAAGAAACTTACAAGTTTCGAGTTGAACTGAAGTTTCATTGTAACTTTTGAACTGGAGTTGGGGGTGAGGGCTAGTGAGTAAAACAGGACGGAGCAGAGAGCAAACTCTTCATGGCCCTGTGACGCTTGTGGATTTTCTTTAGAGTGCTTAGGTTGTCATCTGCTAAAATAAATGAAATTGTCATCTTCTTGGCTACATGTATTTAGGAAATAGCATTTTGTGCGCTATTCAGTACAGTCAAGCTCAATCTACTATTCCTGAAGGAAACTTTCTAGAAAAGAGGGAAACCTGATGTACCTCATGTTCTGGATTTCAAAGCATACACAGGGGCTTCCCTGGTGGCGCAGTGGTTGAGAGTCCGCCTGCCGATGCAGGGGACACGGGTTGGTGCCCCGGTCAGGGAAGATCCCACATGCCGCGGAGCGGCTGGGCCCGTGAGCCGTGGCCGCTGAGCCTGCGCGTCTGGAGCCTGTGCTCCGTGACGGGAGAAGCCGCAACAGTGAGAGGCCCGCGTACCGCAAAAAAAAAAAAAGCATACACAGTTTTTTCAAGTGTGTAAAGCCACTTGCTGTTCTAGGAATCTAAGTGGAGTGTTTTTCTTTCTTAGTTTAAATTAATTATTTAACATATCCCTGCTTTATTTTCTGCCACCTTCTGTGCCAGGCTTTGTTGTAAGGACGTTATGTAATCACTTGTTTAATGCCTGCAGCTCTGGGGCAGGGACTCATACTAACCCGCTGTTACAAATGAGGAAAGCGCGGTGCAGAGGTCAGGTGACCTGTGCCTGGTTAACGGCTTGTAGGAGGTGGAGCGGGGACTGAACCCAGGCAGGCTGCCTGTGTGTTCTCAGCCACCACTGTGGTAGATGCGGTGACAACGACAAATACACGTAGGTCCGGGCAGGACACTCTTGTCCACGTCGTGGTCGTCTGGCCCTTCCGACCAGTCTGCCTTTATGATACTGGTTAAGTTCCTGGAGGTGAGTGGGGAGTGGGTAGGAGTTCTGTGTGTGCTTGCTTTCAGCATCTGTAGTGAGCATCTGTAATACTATGTGCTCATGGGAAAGATTACTGTGAGAGTCCAGTAAGAAAATGTTTCAAACCACCTGGCAGAGGGCTGAGCATGGAGTAGATGTTTAGGAAGTACAGTCAGCCCTCTGTAGCTGCAGGTCTGTGTTCTGGATGTGCGGGGTCACCTGTTCTACGCGGTTGTAGAAAAGAGACTTGAGCATCCACTGATTTGGGTATCCGTGGGGGGTCCTAGAACCATTCCCCCTTGTTACCGAGGTATGAGTATATTTACATCCAGATCCTTGATTTGAGCCACATCCACACCTGTCAAAGTTGTTCGGCCATTTGATTTTCAGTCTGACACGTCCTGCTTCACCAAACAGCTGTCATTCTCGTGTCCTTGGGCCCAGGTCTCCTGACCCCACCGTGTCCGCGGGTGAATTAAATGAACGTGTGTTGCGCTACAATATTTGCTTCACAGTGTGGTCCAGTCTCCTTCCTGCCCGTGAAAGTTGATATCTACGTGTTTGTTTCTCTGGACACCTCTTTACTTAACATGATCCCTCTTTAACACTATTTTATGTTGTCATGCAATTAAAAAATAGTCAACTCTGTATTATGTTTCTTAATTTTGTGTCAGGTGTTTATAAGCTAATTTGGTTATCTAGTTTATTAGAAACTGTATAAATAAGTGATAACTTTTTTAATAGGAAAAGTGAAGGTTGAACAGATCTGTATTTTTTTAATCATACTGATTCATGAGGAATGTGTGAGTTCCAAAGAGCATTAAGTGTACCTAGTGTACCATCTCCATGCATCATCTAATTTTGACCTGTAATATAGAAAGTGGATGAAAGACCCTGTTATCCCTGGTATAACTAGGCCTTCACCCATCTTATTAATGATTTTCTTGGGAGCATCTTTTCAGTTGCATTGGTAGGTTCCAGATTGCTATGGGATTGAACAGCTCACACACAAGGTGATTGGGAGGACTGGCCTACAGTCTTCACCTACAAGACTCGCCTTGGACTCAACCTGACCTGACCAGTGTCATCCTCTGGCCTGGTGGCCGGTCAGCCTGCCCACTGCCCCATGGCACTTCTAGCAAAGAACAGAATTCTCTCACCGTTTCCACTGCATTCTATAAAAATGGGGCATCTTAACATGGGAACTTAGGTTTACCTCCGGTGTGGTTTCATTAGATTTTAAATTCATACTAATAATTTAAAATGATTTGATGGCAAGTAGACAGCTTCCCAGGCTTAAACCGCAATTTTTAGCCTAAGAACATGTTTGCAACTGAGTTGTAAACTCAAGGAGATGGTGGTTGGAACTAGATGAACAGAAAAGACTTTCAGTGGAAGAGAATGAATTGAAGAGAAATTCAGTAGAAGAGAAATTTTTTTTTCCTTGTAAATTATTTAAATTTGGAGGTAGTTTCAGGCTGCAGAAAAGTGTTAGAACAGGGAGCTCCCGCATCGCCTCGACCGGATTGCCCAGTGGTTTGCGCTGTCCTCTCCCCCCGCCTCTCTCCAGCCCTCACATCGACAGTGACACAACACGACCATCCTGCCCACGGGCCATCCGTATTTCCCCCTGTCCCGGCTACGTCTCTTTCACTTTTCCGGCCCAGCAGCATGCGGTACGTTCGTGGATGCGTCTCACTGGCCTCCTTCACACTGGAACATTCTTTAGTCTTTCTCTGCCTGTGTCTTTGACAGTCTTAGAGTTCAGGCCTTTCCTTCTGTAGGATGACCCTCAGCCTCCCACCCATGCAGTTTTCTTGGGGAGCTGACTGGGCCGAGTGTCACAGCAGGGGCACAGGATGCTGACCCCTCCCTCTACTGCCGGTGTTAACCTTGACCACCTGCTGAGGTGGGCGGCGTCTATAAGGTTTCTCCAAAGTAAAATCACCATGTAAAAATTCGCCTTGGATGAGCATGTTGTGGAGAGAGGCAGTGATGTAACACGATGTCTGTGCTTCCTCAGACTTCTCACGGCCTTAGCGTCCCTGCTGACTCCTGCCCACGACAGTGCCACTGTGACGCCGTCAGACGCTGGGGACCTATTTCCATCGTTCCTTCTGTATTCATTAGGTGACCTTCTGCTGTAGGAAGGACTTTATTTCCTTTCTTCCCCATTTTTAAATTTATTTATTATTTCAGTATGAATCTGTGAAATCTTATTATATTCCATGGGTTAAAATCCAGTACTCTGTTTAGACGCCTAAATTGTCCGTGTTTGGACAGTGGGACAACTTAGGCCTCATGTTTCTGTGTTTTTCTGATCTGTCCTTATGGTTATTTGAGCGTTACTACCTAGCATAACAGGATGTTCCCAGGCTCATCTTGTTCTTTTCCTGCCTCATCCCTGAGATCAGGCATGTCGCCAAGAGGTTCTGGTTCCCTGTAGTGTTGCATGGTATTTAGAAACAAAGTCTGGCTGCTCAGAAGTGCTCACTTGCTTGTGGGGTGTCAGTGCTTCTAGGCCGTCTGAGCAGAGTCAGGAAGCATGTGAATGTAGATACCCATCCACCCACCCACCCACCCACCCACCCATCCATCCATCCATCCATCCATCCATCCATCCATCCATCCATCCATCCATCCATGCATCCATGCACATACATCTACAGCTATTGCTATGTCTGTGTCTGTCTCTGTTTTAAAACCACACATGTTCCTACTGACACTTCCGTCTCTAATCCAGCACCAGCCTTTCCCTTTCTGTTTATAAATCCCCTTTCAGATGGCGAGAAACCTGATTCCTTTTATCCTCGGTATATTAAGTTATTTGTGCGGTAAGTGCATTTGCTCTGTCTTCCCAGTCTCCCCCGTTCCCCTGGCCTCTGATCACCCCCAGTGCCCGTGCCCTTAGGAAGCCCAGCACGGGGTCACCGTGGGACCTCCACCCCTCACTGCTGCAGACCCTGGGCACTGGTTCCTCCATGCTAGGAGGGGAGGGGGAAGGGGGATGGGAAAGCAAGGATCACTCTTGTCTTTTCAGTGATTTTTTCTTTTCCTAACTCAGTGGTTTTCTAACCTGAGCATGCTGGTTATAAGTGCGGCTTCTCGTACTCCACCCCCAGAGATAGTGAATCGCCATCTTTAGTGGGTTTCCCAAGTGGTCCAGGGACTCTGATGCAGATGCTTTACAACCCACACACTGAGAGATATTCCCTGCCTGGCTCTCAAGAGCTGCCAGCCTGCCCAGGAGGCACTCATCCCACAGAAATTTATTGCGCCCCTGCCATGGGCACAGATCACTTAGGAGGAGGAATATTGGTAAGCAGGGCTTGTGCTTCCTTTTTCTTTCACCTACTTTTCCTTTCCGTTCCTTCCCTCCTCCCTCTCTCTCTCCCTCCTTCCCTCCTCCTTCCTTCCTTCCGCAATTTTTTTCTTTAAATAGTTACCTACAGCTTCTAGTCTCCGATGACAAAAGTTTGCAGTGGAAGCTTTCCCAGCACTTGTTTTCCCCCAGGACACAAACACCTGATTTTCTGTGCTTTAATTAGACCTGTCCCATGTTCCTGTTTGTGTTGTAGCAACAGGAGCATGCCCGTGCCTCGTCAACATGTGCTTGCTTCAGTTTGCCAGGTTTGGGGCTAATGCTGTCTGATGTAGTTGATCGCAGGAGAGTGAAGCAATACGAACATCTGGGATCAGCTGTAGGTGTAGAAACAGCACAGAGGGTAGCCATTTGCAACATTTTATCTTAAGCAGACTTACCAACTACTTTCTCAGCAAGCTAAATTCATAGAAGTGGTTTTTATCTCAGTACAGTGTGCCCGTGCCATCTGTAACCCTAGCCCCCGCCATCTGAGTTGTGACGTGAGACTGTGTACCGAGCGTCCAGCCACCTGCCCGTGGTCTTCGCCACAGCAGTCACAGGCGGGGAT